GAGCTGGCGGACATCTGGCGCGAGTTTGTGCTGCCATGGGTGGTGGTGCGATGAGCGACGGGCCTGTTTTCTATGTAGCCACCCCCCAGGATCTCGCTCCTCTTCTTTCTCGCTTGGTGTGCTGCACTGCATTTGTTTTTATTCTTCCTTGACCAGTCTCTCTGCTTTTATTATTCTTCCCCGCGTGTGCGTGTGCGTAAATAAATAAAAAGAGACACCTCTACTGTGAGATGGGTAAAAAGGAACAGCAAGAGCAACAGGTCCCGTGCGATCTTTGTCGGTGTTTGTGCAGGGTTCTTTGTGGGTGTGGTCTGCGACTAGCCGCCGGGGTCCGTCCTCCCGATGGGGGGGGGACTATCACTAGCCGTCTTCCACATGGTCCCTCGGGTCCCTGCTGCTCCTAATCTCTTCGTACATCCTCCTGCTGATCTCCGCAAAGTCCTGCTCCCTCCCTCGTCTCGGCTCTCGCCCTGCGCGTCTGCTCCGCCTCCACATCGTCTGCCCTGCGTCGTCTGGCGCGTGTGCGCGTACGTGCGCCTACAACATTGGAATCCCGCCGACGACTCAGTCACTCACACATACGCGCCGCCTCAACACTTCCGAAACACCGGACTCCTCAGCTTCAAGGACTGGCATCTCTATTTCAAGCACATCCTCCACCGAGCGCTCTCGACGCGCCACCGGCGGGGAGAGGCCAGGACCGTCTGCCGCCTCTGCCACCGCGAACGCGAGTCCTGCGCACACCTCGGCCGATGCCGAATAATCGCGCATCTATTCAGCCGGATAAAGCTGATCATTCCCGACACCCCTGCTCCCAGTCGCGACAGGATACTCTTCTGCTACGTGGAGGACCAACGTCTTCCCCTAGTGACGACGACTCTCTGCCTGCTCCTCTGGAAGTTTACGCTGATCGACTTCTACAGGGTCGACATCGACAACGTCACGTTCAAAGCGGACGACGTGTGGACGGCTACTCTCACCCGACTCGTCCATGCGGCCGCCTCGAAATGCGTTCATATCCGCAGCCTCCGGAGAAGGTACCACTCGAGAGGGGAACAGCCGCCGCCGCGCTTCCTCGATCGATTCCAACTACTCGTGGCCCCCCTGTTCTCGTACGGCGAGTACGGGCAGCTCTACTTTAGTGAGGCCTTGACGAGGCATCTCAAATGCAGGGACCTGCACCACCTGCTGGACTACGCGACCAAGAGGGACGACGCCGCCAGCCGTGGCGACGCCGCTCCCTCGGATGACGCCGCGACAGCCGCCGCCGGCCAGCAGCAGCAGCAGCAGCAGCAAGCAACAACGCCCTTTTACGCCAACTGGACGAAACGGCTCCGTTCTTAGTGCTGGCGACGACGACACGCGGGGGACTGGGCGCTAGCCGCAGCTCCCCCGGGCCAACGGGGGCCTATCCCGGACCAGCCAGCAGGGGCATACAATTCCTGTACACCCCCCCCCCCCCACTGTGAATGATCACAGCGGACCCCTATTCACACCTAGACACGGAGGCACCTCTCCACGTCCGCAGCCGGCTCCGCTGCTCTGCAGGCTCCGGATAAGCCCTGCCCACGGCTCAGTCACCCTTACCTCACTCGGGATGCCAACA